GTGGGACAGTAAGGGGAAAGAAGCTCTGATAAATAAGGAGGGGCCAATTATGACCAGAAGTGCATTGCAAGACAGAGCAATTCCTTATATCATTTTTAATATGATGTTCCAGTCAGCAATCTAGGCGCTACATCTTGCATTCACTGTAGTTCCCAAATCATCTTCAAGGGCAGCCCCACATGCAGTGCATTGCAGTAATCTAGGCAGTTATAAGTTATAACTTCCCAGGAACAAAAGAAAACACACAGCTGACAAGTCAAAGCTGGTCCCTAGCATTCTGAATAACAGAGTACATCTGGGTCTCCCCTGAAAAAGAGATCTAAGACTACGGCTAAACTATGCACCTTCTCCCTACTTTGAAGAGTACAACTAAACTCAGAGGGAACAGGTAAACTGGAGAGATGGCAGATGATGCTGTCAATCCTGCAAATCAGAAAGTCCTGTCACTTGGATCCTGTGAGCTCTGGCTCCACTGTACCGCTGCATGAGATCTACACACAAATTCCACGTAGAAGCGCTTTTTGAATTTGAAATGTGTTAACTTTAGAAGTGCCCTTTGGGCTGTATGTTTTCACTCTTGTGGGCTTTGCTGATGCTATATCTCTCTCAGACAATATTTATTGAGAAAATCATTGCTCTGCTTAAGGAAAAGAAATGCCTTCTGTTCCACCATTCCCTTGTCAGACAATAAATGTGCTAGATGTCACTGCAGTCAATTACTTTAACAGTGCTGTTAATTTTCAATTATTGATGCATTACTATTGGGATGCCAGTAATATGAAAGGAAGGTGACTGAATTTATTTTTGATACTATATGTGAAAATTGTTCTTTCTCAAAGTTCATTATTACAGCTTCAAAACTAAGCATAACTGCACCATTTAAACCCATATATTTTAAGGGAGGTTTTAGAAGGGTACCTGTAGGCAGGATGGCAGCTTTTATGATTCTGACTACATAGGAGTGCATTTTTCTGTGTGAGGCACTGGAAGTGAAGATACTCCTGCTTAGAGCTTGGAAATGTTATTCCTTTTGGTTGAAAGAATACCTTAGCTAATATGGCCAGTGTCCAGCGGATGATTCTGGGAGTTGTAGTTTAAAAAAAAAAAAAGAGATAGAGAATGAGAGAGAGAGAGAGAGAGAGAGAGCAATACTCTATATCTTTACTCTTAGAACCATAGAATCACAGAATCCTAAAGCTGAAAGAGACGTCAAGGGCCATCCAGTCCAACCCCCTCCCATGCAGGAATACACAATCAAAGCACTCCCAATAGATAGCAATCTGGCTTCTTTTTAAAAACCTTCAAAGAAGGAGAGTCTACCATACTCCAAGGCAGCATATTCCACTGTCAAACAGTTCTTACTGTCATGAAGTTCTTCTTACTGTTGAGGTGGAATATTTTTTCCTGTAGCTTCAATCCATTGCTCTGTGTTCTAGCAGCAGAAAACAATCTTGCTCCATC